GCATTAAGAGATAATAATACTGAAATAGATAGTATGTAAAAATCATTAGAAAGTATAATAGATATCATGAATAATGAAGATATTACAATGATTATAGAAGAAATGTATTTCGTTATTCCTTCAATGGTTGAATTAAATGATCTATATTTGGAATAATCATATCTATATTTGGAAAAATATAAAGAGACTTATTTTATATATTTTGGTACTTTCATATTTTTTTTAGTTTTTATTTTTATTTATTTATGGATTCCATATATAAGAAAGTTAACAATTATTTTATGGAGAACTAAAGGAATGCTTAACATGATACCAATGAATATTATAATAAAATATACATTTTTAAAAAATGCATTTTTATCTAAAGAAATTATGAATGCTATTAAATGATAAAAAAATTTAGATAAATAATATTTATATAAATAAATAAATATATATATTTATATAGATATATATATATTTATATATTTATACTTTTTTTTTTTCTTATATTAATGTTATTTATATTTTGTTTTTTAATTATTTATTATTTCTTTTAATTTATATCTTAATATATTTAATTTTTTTATTTTTGATATTTTTTATTTTTATTTTAATTAATTAAACATATTATTTGATTTTTTATAATTATTAATATAATGATATCATAACAATTACTTTTCAATATTTTTATAAATTTATATATATAAATATTTTTTTATTTATGAATTATTAATAACAATTTGCTCATAATAACTTATAAATAATTTTCTAAAATTTTTATATATAGAAGATAAATAATTATATATATTTATATATTTTTTTTTTAAATTATTATAAAGTTATAATTAAAAAAATACAAAAAATAGTTTCTTGAATTTTATATAAATTAATTGAATTATATTTTAATTTAAATATATTTCATCTATATTAATTAAAAAAAAAAAATGTTATTTTTAATAATATTTTTTTATTTATTTATTTTATTTTTTATATTAAAAAATTAATATAATAGAATTTAAGAAGCTTAAAATTATTTAAATCAAAATATTTTTTTAATTTAAATACATTTTCGTATTAGACATCTAATTATAATTTTTCTTATAAAAATGATTAGATGGCCATTTAATAATAATATTTTTTCTTATATTTTTTATTATTTATTTTTAAGAATTAATTATTAATCTAAAAAATAATAATGTTTTTTTCTTCTATATTTTTTTTTATAAAATCGTTTTTAAAAAAAATAATATAAAAAAAATAATTAATAAATATATAAATATAATATATATTTATTTTATTTTAAAGTTATACATATGTTTGATATTCAATATATATAAAAATATATAATAAATTTTTGAACTTATTTAAAATTTTTTATCTATTTGTGTTAAAAAATATCCAATAAAATTAAAATTTTTAAATTAAATAACAAAAAAATATTTAAATGAATTATGCACAAATAAAGAAAAAAAAAAAATTAAATAAAAAGTAAAATAAAGTGTAAAGTAAAAATAAATAATAAATGTGAATATTTAATTTTCAAAATAAAATATATTTATAAAAAATAATAAATAAATAAATATTTATTATATATTAAAAATTATATGAAATAAATTCATTTTAAAAAATAAAATAAAAAAAAATTAAAAAAAAAATGGTATATTATAATTAATATAGTAATTTTATAAATAAAAAAAAAGGTATAAGGAAAAGGCGGAAAAGGAGGTAAAGGAGGAAAAGGAGGAAAAGGAGGAAAAGGAGGAAAAGGAGGAAAGGTCGGCTCAGGAAAAAGTAAAAAAAACACTTAATCAAGATCCTTTAAAGCTGGACTTTAAGTAAATTATTAATATAAGAAATAAATAAATATAAATATATATATATATATATATTATATATATATATATATATATTTATATATATATATATATATATAATATTTTTTAGTTTCCAGTTGGAAGAATTCATAGATTCTTAAAAAGCAGAGTTAGTTTTAAAAATAGAGTTGGTGCTACTTCTGCTGTATACACAGCTGCTATATTAGAATATCTTACTGCTGAAGTTTTAGAACTAGCTGGAAATGCTTCTAAAGATTTCAAAGTAAGAAGAATTTCTCCTAGACATCTTTTATTGGCTATAAGAGGAGATGAAGAATTAGACATTTTAATCAAAGCTACTATATCAGGAGGTGGTGTTATTCCTCATATTCATAAAGCTTTACTAGGAAAATTAACTACAAAAAATAGATCTAAACCAAACGAATAATAAAACTGATTAAATTTTTTTTTATATATATTATGTAATTTGATATTTTTTTTTTTTATATAGTTTAATTTTTTTATAGTTTAAATTATTTTTTGTTTAGATTATCTATAATATATATTTTTAAATTATAAAATATATTATTTATACAAATTGTTTATTCTATGTTGAATAATTAGTTTTTTTTTATTTTAAAATATTAAAAAAATGTAAAATTATTAGAAATTTAAAATTATCAATTCTCTTATTTGAATAATAGTAAAATAAATATTATATATTAATTTTTTTTATTTTTAGAAAAACTACAATTTAAATATAAATAATAATTATAAATTAATTTTTTTTTCGTATTTAAAATAATAAAATAATTTAAAATATTTACTAAAAATTTAATAAATTTAAAATAATAATTAATATAATTTAAATATAATGATATATTAAATATATATATTAAATAAATATATTATAATTAAATAAATAATATAATAAATATTTATATATAAAAGAATAATTAATTATATAATATATATTAAATTTTAATTAAAACGAAAATTAATAAATAAAAATATATATATATATATATATATATATATTTATATTTAATAATTTAGATATTTGTTTTTTATATATAAAAATTTTATAATTTATATTTATTCATATATTTGTTTTATATTTTTTTTTATATTTTATTGATTTTAGTATATATTTATAATTTTTTTCATTTTATATTTTATAATTTATATATTTAATTATGTTTTTTATAATATTAAATTTTATTGTTTATTTATTATTTTTCGTAACATGTTTTATTATTTTATAGATTGTTATTCTATTATTTTTATTATATATATACTTTATAATCATTTAATTATTATTAAAAAAGAAGATATAAATGACTGAATTTGTTATAAATAATCTTTAAAAAATTCATAATTATATAAAATAAATAGATTCATAATTTATATTTTTACCATCTTCTTCATTATCGGATATTTCCATATAAATCAAATACATAAATTTAATACCTACTTTGTATAAATACCGAATATTAGAAGAAGATTTAGACATTATTATAGACTAGCCATTTATGTCAAACAAAAATTTAATGGATTTAGCTTTGAAATATCTTAACTTTTTAAAAATTGATAAATAGATAACTGAATACAATTTAAAAATACGTGAAGTACAATAAAACGCCCAAAAAGATTTAGTTTAACTATTTTCTGAAGTAAGGATAGTGATCGAAATAATAGAATCAAATTCAAATCTACAAAAGAAAAGAGAATTTATAAATATTTCATTTTCAAATGTTAAGTCATTAAATAAAAGTATTATTTTGATTTAAAATATATGCGAAATTTTATCTAAAATCGAAATTAAAGCTTCATTTGATCTTATTCATTATACAAGCCTTTTTTCTGAATAATAAAATACATAATTTTTACTTTCATTCGATTTTGATTAAAATATATAAGAACTTTCAAATCATTTGGATACTTTAATTTTGGATATATATGAAGCTTATTAAAATTGCTTAAGTGCAGAAGAATCATAAATTCCTTCTTTATCTGCTTAATTAGCACTTTTGATTAAAAATAGCTTTTAGTAAAGATCTTAATTTATTGTTAAATAAAATAATATATTTCATAAATGTTGCACTTTTATATACCTTGAGCTTAAAAGATAGCTTTTTTATACAAAAGAAGAGTTACTTAAAATAGATATTCCTTTGAAAATAATAAACTTTAATATTTGTCTTATTATTTATTTATTTTTTATGTTAGAAAAAGAAATATAAAAGATGCAAGATAAGTAAAAATAAATAAAAAAAATTGAAAAAATAAAAAAATAATAAAATATAAAAAATATAAAAAAAGGTTTGCCGAATTAGTAAAAGAATTATAAAATAAAATAAAATTACCTTTAAATATTAAATAAAATCAATAATTATTAAAGTAAATAAATAATTAAAGTTAAAGTTTTTTAATACAATTAAAAAATTATAATGAATTATATTCATATACCAATACTACGTAATAATTTTCAGCTCTTTTTGAAAAATAAAGATTTAAAAGAATAAGTCAAATAAAACAGTTAAAAAATGAAATAATAGTATTCCAATAAATAATTAATTTTATTCAAGAAATAGAATAAAGTGAATTTCATTTGTATAAATTAGTTTAATAAGCAGAAGATTTTATTATGGAAATAAATTCATTAGTTAAATAATATAAAAACTTTCAAAATTAAGTAATCAAAAGAAGTATAATTCCAGCCGAAAATAAATAAATAAATAAATTAAGATCTGATATAAAACTAAAATACACCAAAAGTAATAATATTATTGTAGAGCTTAGAGATTTTGAACGAAAATTATAAAGTTACTTTGATGTAAATGAATTTTTGATTTTTACTAATTTATTTGAATAAACCTTTAATAAATTAAGGAAAACTATAGAAGATATGTATTAAATATAAGATAAAATTGTTGAAATTTTATAAACAGAAGCTGATTTAATATAAGAAGAGTGTTAATTAATTTTTAATGAAACAAAATAACTTTTGGAAGAACTAAATTAATTTTTTGACTTTATCGATGTATTTTTTTTTTTATAAAAAAAAATTATTTGTTTTGTTATTTTATTTTTTATAATAGAATAAATAAATAAATTAAACTGATAATAGAGCATTTTTAGATTAGATAAGTGTATAAATATTAAATTTTTTATTAAAATTAAAGAAGAAATAATCTTAAATTGAATTAAACTTAACAGAAGAAAGCAATATATTATCACCTTTATTAAAATTAGATTTTGAAGAAAATGCATAAAGTCTAGATTTACATCTCACAAATTTGGAAGGGCTAGGTATAATAATTGAATCTAGAAATTATATGAATAATTAAAATATTTAAGAATAATTTGAATAGTTTTTAGATTTTTAAAATTTGAAACCAGCATAATAATTAACTGAAAATTTAGTAGAACATAAATTTGATGTAATTAATTTTCAAAAGGATTATTCTTAAAAATTAAGTTAGAAATTACAATTATTATGTAAAGTAAAACTTGAAACAGAAGATTTTTTATTTCATTTTATAAATAATTATAGACAAAATCATATATTAATATAAGAATAAATAAAAGTATTTATTCAAAAATATTAAAAAGAAAATATTCTAAGCGACTAAGAATATCTAAATTAAGTAAAATTAATAAATAATAGTTATTAAAATATACTTAATTTATTATAAGAATTTTCCAATACATAATTCTTATAAACTGAACTAAAAAATAAATTATAAATTCAATTTGATGCTTATAAAATTAAAATTTAAGAAGCTATTGAACCTCTTCATTTAATTTAATAAGTTTACAATTATTAATCTTAAAAAGAAGAATTTTTTAGGGAATTTTTTAGATAAAAATTAGATTCTAAATAGGCATTAGATAATTTATAAGTTTGGATTGAATTTTAAGTAAGTTTAAATGATAGTATTGATTTTTTATAAGAAAACTTTTCTATTTAAAGCTTACAATTTTATTAAAATGTTAAATCTAATATATAGTTAATTAATGAGTTTTGTATTTATTCTTAATAAACTATTTAAGATATTTAAGAATAGAATAGAACCATAGGAAAAAATATTAAATTTAATTAATTTATTGATTAGATTATTTAATAATTAGAATAAAAAATTAAATAAACCTAAATCTAAGAGATTAAATAGCTTTTAAGTTGCTTATTATAATATATTGAAAATAATTATATATTATGATGCCTTTACAATAATAAATAATAATGTATGTTAATTTGTTATTTTTATAAAAAACTTATTTAATATTTAGATTAAATTTATTCTAATGAGTTATAAACAAATAATATTTTCTTTGAAAAAATATTAAATATAATAATATTTTTTTATTATTGAAAATAAAAATAATTTCATAATGCAACTAAATAATAAAATTTTTTGATTTAAATATATAAATATATTTAATAATACTTTTTTTAAACCTTTTTTTTTAAAAATAAAATAAAATAATAATAATAATTATAATATACTTATATTATATAAAAAATGCTTTACGATAGCACAGATTACAATTTGACTTAACAAAATTAAAATTTGTCCAAACAATAACAATAAAGAATTATTCAAAGTGCTCATAATTTATGTAACAGTGAGTTATCAAAGTAAAACTTTGATAGATTTATTCAATAAAAATTAAAAGAAAATGAAAATATGTAACGTGCATAAACAGCAATAATTTCAAATTTAAACAAAAACATTTAATCTAAAAGATAATAAAGACCTTTTTATTCAGCTTAGAATAATGTTTTTCCTGCAATAGGTAATAAATTATAAATCCAATAATTAAAAATTAATAATTTCAACAAATATTATATTTTTCATTTAGCAAGACCTAAAACATCTATAGCACCACCTTTAGTTGTTCATTTGTAAGCTGAAGATGATAATTATGATGATTTAAGAGATAAATTATGGGATGAAGTAATATTAACTTTTTTTTTCAATTGAAAAAATAATAAAATTAAAATAGGTTTATTATACAAAAAATCAAATAAATGAATAAAAAGAATTCAATTCAAATCTACGTGCAAAAGTTTGGAATATAGAAAAAGAAAATAGAAAAATGCTAAAATAAATAGATGCTTGGAATCTAAAAAAGGGTGTAATATTTGATGATTAAAATCATCCTTTTGTTGATAGTGCAACTTCTGAAAAAGTATTTATTGATTAAAATTTCTCAGCTGTTTCTATGAAAAAAGAAATTAAAATTTTGGAAAAAGAAATTATTGAAAAAAATTAATAAATTAAAGAAGCTAAATAAAAAATTTTATAAACTCAAGAAGATCACTTGACTTTATAAGATTAGTTAAATGATACGTTTAAAGATTGTATTATGTCTTACAATTAATATGCATTTAAAAATAAAACATACGATGATTTCTTATTATAAAGTAATAATAAATAAATATTTAAATTTAAAAAAAAAAAATGAAAAAGAAATTGAAGAAATAAGCGAAAAAAATAGAGTTTTAAAATTCATGATTGATGTTTAATAAAATAATTATTTAAAATGTGAAAAAGAGAATGTAATATATGATAACCAATTAAAGAAAAAATAAATTGAACTGTAATCCTTGGAAGAGGAACTTAAAGAAAAAGTTCCAAAAGAAGAATAAAACGATTACTCTTAAAAAGTTTAAAGAAAAAATTAAACTAAAATAAACACTATTTAAATTCATAAAAATGTAGAAGAATAAATAGGTTTTTTGTTTTTTTATAAAAATATTTATTTTAACGCATATAAAAATAAATACAGAGGAAAAAGAATAACTTATTGAAGAATAATTAAAAGAAATTGAAAAAATTAATATTGAAATTCAAGATGATAAAATTCGTTTGATCACTGATAAGTAAGAATTAATTAAAGAAATTAATATTTTAAAAGAATAAATTAAAATTATTGAAGAGAAATATTTAATTCTTTTATCTAAATAAAATAAAAGAATACTATAAGCTTAAGAAGTAGCCAAATCTAAACCTTTAACTAACTTTGATAACGATTCTGAAAAATTAATCAAATCTATTAGCTAAATATAAGATTATGTTGTAAAAGAAAATTAAACATAAAATAAATGAGATTAAAAAAAAAAAAAAAATAAAAATATTATAAATAATAAAAAATATTTAATTAAATTAGTTAATTATATTAAATTAAGTATTTATTATTAAAAAAAAATATATAAGAATATTTGTTTGACTTTTATAATAATATTAATATTTGGATAAAAAAAAAAATTAAAATTATTAGTAAATAATAAATAGTATAAATATATATATATATATAAATATATATATATATATATATATCATATATATTATCATATATATTTATATATATATATTTTTTTTTTTTTTTTTAATATCAAAATCTATTTTTTTTTTATAATATTTTAATTAACAAAAAACAATTAAATAATTCTTAAAAATTTAAAGTGTTTTTTTTTAGTATTTTATTTTAGTTATTAAAAGAAAATTCCAGAAAAAATAAATAAATTCATAACAAGAAGTAATATATTCAAATTAATATTAATTTCTATATAACATACATTTTTATTCTCAAATATTATATATAAAAATAAATTTAAAACCTTAATATTCAAATATTTTTTTTTTTATGGATTAACAAGAATACGATTTATTAATACTTTATGCATCCTAAACAGGAAATGCGAAATATGTATCAGAAGAACTTTAAAGAAATTTGAATATATTAGATTATAAAACATAATTATATTCAATGGATGAATATTAAATCGAGAACCTTCCAGAAGAAAAATACATAATATTTATAGTATCAACTACAGGTTAGGGAGAACCTCCATCAAGTATGATAGACTTTTGGAAATTTTTATTAATATAAGATCTCCCTTCCGATTCATTAGAAAATGTAAAGTTTACTCTTTTTGGATTGGGGGATAGCTAATATATATAATATAATGCGATGGCCAGAAAATTATATCAACGATTATTATAATTAGGTGCTTAAGCATTTTTAGAAAGGCATTTAGGAGATGATTAACATCCTTTCGGTTATGATTATGAATTGGATATATTTACTTAATAATTATATGAAAATTTAAGTAAAATATTTAATAAAAATCATTTAAATTCAAAAGAAATTATAAAAAACACTATTCCTGAACCTTAATATGTTATTGAATATTTAAACAATGATTAAATTCCTTAAGAATATTAAATAAACGAAATTTTTTAATATATAAAAGCCCCACCATAGTCATTAAATAATAATCCAATAATTTCAAGAATAAAGGACATGAGATTATTAACAAATCCTGATTACTAACGCTAAACTTATCGTATTGATTTCGAAATAGAATAAGAAAAAAATTAAATTAAATACAATCCAGGAGATATATTAATGATTTATCCGTTTAATACAGAAGAAAATGCTTTAAAACTGCTTTCTTTATTGCATATATATCCTCATTAAATCATTAAAATAAAAAAAAATTCGAAAAACAAAACATTTTTAAAAAATATACCCTTTCCTCCTTATTTAACTGTTTTTTAACTTTTTACTTATTTCTTAGCTATTCAACATCCTCCAAGTCGTTATTTTTTTAAATTAATGTCTCTTTGCACCGAAGATGAATTACATAAAGAAAAACTTTAAGAACTTTATGAAAGTAGTGAAGAATATTACAGTTATGTAGCAAAGGAAAAAAGAAATGTTTATGAAATCCTTTTCGATTTTAATACAGTTAAAATGCCTTTGGAATACATTCTTGAAAGTGTTTAACTTTAAAAGTTTAGAGAATTTTCCATTTCTTCTACTTAATTAACTAATTAAAATTCTGTAGGTATTACTATTGGAATTGTGTAGTATTAAACTCCTTTTAAAAGGCAAATTTAAGGCACTTGTAGTATTTTCCTTTAATAAAATCCTTAGTAAGTAGTCCTTTTTTTAAAAAAAGTACACTTTTATTTCCTATTAATGATATTTCAGTTCCTGTTATTATGGTAGGACCTGGAACTGGTATTGCACCTTTTATTGGATTTGTTGAACATAGAGATAAATAAATTGAATAAAATTAAATTGAAAGAAAAGAGTTTTAAGATAAAACTTTCCTTGTTTTTGGATGTAGATATGAATCAAAAGAATTTTATTATAGAGAATATTTAGAAAAAGTGCAATAAGAAAAAAAAATTGAACTTTTCACAGCCTTCTCAAGGGATCAAAAGGGTGATAAAGTTTATGTTTAACATATTTTGGTGTAAAATTTTAAAATTTTTGGGTAAATTATAATAGAAAATATAAATAAAGTTAAAATTTTTGTAAGTGGAACTGCCAAATTTATGCCAAAAAATGTCGAAGAAAGCTTTTGTGAACTTTTAAATAAATATTTAAATAATGATAATGGATAAAATATAATTTCTTAATTGAAAAAAAATAAATAATATATTGTAGAAGCTTGGTGATTTTTATATATAAATAAAATTATTTATTTTTGTTTATTTTCATAAATGATTTTGTTTTTTATTTTTGGTAAATTTAAGATATTTAAAGTGGTGATTTTATAATAATTTTTTATTTAAAGAATTTTTTTTTTTTTTTTAAATATGTTTAAAAATATACAAAAAAATGTAATAACAAAAAACAACATCAGAGATAAATTGATAATATCAATGTATTTATTAAATATTTATTTGTTTTAAATATACAATATTTATTTTTATTATTAATTAATAAGTCTGAATATAATATTTTTTTATATAAATAATATATTAATATTATTTATTAATAATAACTTTTTGTATAAAATATAGAAATTAATCATTGTTATTCATTTTATGAATCTAACAAAACTTAGTAAAAACTAAATGGAATAAATTTATATCCATCAGCTTTAAAAAATTTATTTTAAAATTCAACCCTTTATATAAAAAATAATATAGAAAACTTCTAAAATAAAATACCATTATAAACGTAAAGCATGAAGGAAACATTCCATCAAGTCCATACACATAAGTACAGCAATACTAATATTTAAGAAAATAAACCATCCAATAATTACTTATAAAGCGCTTCCTCCGGCAATTCCTCCACCAATAGTTTTTTCAAAGAAGACTTTCGCAAGTTAACTATGTGCTAAACTAAGAGCCCAAAGACGGAGATAAGAAGCAGTATTAGAAATGGAACCTAAAACGAATTCTATAGTTTCAATAATTTAATGAACGAAAATTTCTCCAAAATCATCACTATGTCCATGTCCTGCTGCTGCATGAGATTCTACATGTTTATGTTCATCTTAATCTTCTTTCTATATATATATATATATTTTTTTAAATAAATACAATTAATTACGTTTAATAATTATTATTCTTGTTAAGATTTTGCTTCGCTTTTTTTTTTAGGCTTGCACAAAAATACTAAAGGCTTCACTAAAAGCATTATAGGAACACAACAAACAGAAATAATTAACAAATTATACTAGAGTTTTTCTTAAAATTCAATATTTTGAAATAAAGGAGTGTCTTAACCTCCAGTTTAAGATACCTTACCTAATTTTAAAGGAAGATTTATCATTTAATTAATAATAGAAGGAGCCATATAGCCTTCTTAGTAATGAATAGTCCATTTAAATATAAACATAAAACACATATAGCCTTTTATTTTTATTTTAAAAAATTAGAAATATAAAAAAATACCAAATGTAGAAAACATAAATACCATTTATGGTAATTATTCAAAAATAAGATCCACCCACAATCCGAAATGTACACAATTTACGCCTTTTAAAAAAATACCCCACACCATTTAGGCAACTCCAAAAGTAACAGCAACTAAAAAAAATTGAAAAAAAAATATAATAAAAAAAAATACGTTTCATTTTATAAGAATTAAAGAAGTTTAACTCATTATTAGCGATATACCATTTTGGATCGAATCCAACTGGATAAACGCATCCTTCAATTTATTCAGTTTCAGCTTCTCCAACATTTTTATAGCAAGTTCCGAATAAATTAATAGGCAAAGAAAGGAAATCATTATAAATAATACCACAATAAAATGCAAAGAAACCCATTAAAGCTAACAAATATCTAATAGAATAAAATCCTTCAAGAGGAGTTCTTAATAAATCTTTACCTTTATGAATCAAAAAAGCTCCAAAAGCTAAAAGAGCACCACCATGACCTATATCTCCAAACATAATACCAAACTTAAGAGGGAACATACTAACACAAAACAGTCCAGGATTAACTTCTCTATATCTTGGAATACCATAAGTATTTACAATTTCTTAAAAAGGAGCAGTAAAATCGTTTGTTCTAAAATGAGTTGGAGGTCCTAAATCTTCAGGTATTTTTACTTCTTATACTTATCCTCCAGCTATATTTGGTTTTCTAATTCTTAATTATTCTAAAGCATTATAAATTACTGAATCCTATTATTTAGGGCACCAAAAATATCCAGAAAAAATAGTATATTTTTATGTCAATAAGTTAAAGTTATGATATAAAAGTTTCTCTTTTAGAACAAATAGTCTAAGTTCTTCTATATATGAATAATTGCATCCTGGTCTCATTAAAACCCAATCATCTAAAATTGAGTTGATTGCTTAACGAGTCATAGTTATTAACTTTTTTTTTATTTTTTTTAGTTAAATTAAAAATATAATTACATTTCTTGTATCTGTTATATAATTTTCAATTTCTAATAATTTCATTGAGTAACCATTACCATCTTATGGCAATGAATACCTTTTTTTATTATAAATTATTTTTTAATTTTAATTTTTTACTTTGATGCATTGAATGAATCACATATTCTGTTTAATTTTTATCTTATCATATTAAATGATCCACCCTTATACACTACTATAAAAACAGACTTAGCAACATTATTTTTGTATCACCAGCTTCATGTAAAATATCACTTGTAAAAGTCCAATTATTTCCTTTAGTTGCTCTAAATATCACTTTCTTAAATCTCAAAACATCCTAAGCATCTATTGCACCAGCCAAATAAGTTAAACTTCCATCTTAAAAATCTTATGATTCTTCATTTTATTAGATACTTGCTTAGTTAGTTATATCTTGTAGATTAGTTGGATTTGTTGATATGTTTTTAGCCCTTTTTTTAAAATATAAATAAAAAGTTTAAATATGGAAATAATAGTTATATTTTAAAAATTATAGTTTATAAATAAAATTTTATTAATATTTAATATAAAAATTAATTTAATTGTGTTTTTTAAAAAATAATAATAAAATATAGCTATCAAAATAATTTATTTTTAGTATAAAATAATATATTTTTTAAAATTAAAAATTATTTCATTTTTAATTTTCAATAAAAAATTAAATAAAAAATGATTTAATTAATATTTATATACAATAAATAATAGTAATAATAATAAAATAATATTCAACAAAAAGTTAATATAAAAAAAATACCTAAAGTAAATTTAATCACCAAGAATTTCTTTACATTTTCTAAGTACAGATCTGTATTCAACTAAGCTTTAGTATCTTGCAATAAGACTATCATAATTAAATTACTATTCATTAAATTGTCCATACTTTAGAGAAACCTCTTCTTCAACATCATTTATGTATGTATGTTCTGCTTTTCCTCTTGAATTAAGATAGACTCTTAAATTATCAAAATATTGTTTTATATCTGAACATTTAACAACTCGCTTTTAGTATTTTTACATTTCAATTTCCATTGCTTATATTTAAGCATATATATCTTCTGTTCTTTTCACATCTTTAGAAAAAGCACGTTAAAATAAGCTTTCTGATGGATGTTAGTCTATAAATTATACTGTTGATAGCTAACCTAATTCATTTAGAATTTCCCAAGCACTTTCTCTTGGCATTACTATATTATAATATCCCATTTAATCACTTCTGAGCAAACTCATTTTATTTTTATAAATATTTAATTTTTTTATTTATATTTTATTTTAATTTTTTTCTTTGATTTTCTTTTTTATTTATAACAATTTGTATTTTTCTATTTAATTTAAAAAAAATTAATTAAATTTGTTTTTATATTTTTATTTATAAATATTATAAAACAAGTATTATAATATTTATTTTTTAAATAAAATAAAATATTTACTGATTTATTTTATTTTTAAGTATTTTTACTAAAATAAATTATAATTTAAATTTGTAAATCTCTTTTTTTTTGTTAAAGATAAATAAATTACCATATTCTGTAAATTAAACGCATAGCTCACTTTACTAATCAAATTAAAAAAAGTAAATTTTTGTAAGAAATGTCCCTCAAAATTTAATAAATAAAAATTTGTGAAATGTCATTCATTAAAAATTCTATAGTTATGAAAATTTGATTAAATATTGATTTTTATTTGTAATTTTAATATTTTAAAAAATTTATTTAAAAAAAATTATTATTATTTTTTTTAAATATAAATTTCAATTAAAACTCACTTTCTTATTCAAATTTGTTTTTAAAAAAATAAAATAGAAACTCAACATCAAAAAGAATTTCTAGTTTTGATTTTTAGAGATTTTTGTTTTATCAAATATGAATATTTATATTTTAATTTTTGATTTTTAATTTAAAATATTATTATGTATTTTTAATTTTTTTATATTAAAAAAGTAATTTTTATATTAATGGTTTTTAGTTAAAGAAAATATAATTTAAAATTCGATTCCAAATATTTTAATGGCCATAGCCGAGCTACTTCTTCGAAACTCAAAAAGTCGACCTTTTTTGTTAAGATGATTCGCTAATGTATAAAATTTTTAAGGAAAAGAAATTAATATAAACAAGACTAAAATATTAATAACCTTTTTTATTTTTAGTAGTGAAAATTCTATAATTTTCATTGTTTACTTTTATTATAATAAATAAAAAATGAATATCAATTATATAAGTTCATTTTTATTTTAATAAGGACACGCGTATAGAAATTTTACAAACTTTAATATTTAATATAACAGAGTTTTATTCTAGCAAACAAACAAAATTATGATAATAATAATGATTAATAAAAACTAATTATTTTTTTCGTTAATACTTTTTTTTAGTAATAATAAAATCATTATTATTTTTAAAAACATAAATATATTAAAATTTGTAATAATTACGATTTTTTATTTTAAAAATAATAGAATTTTCATTTTAATATTAATCAAATAATATTATAATTTTCGGTTAAATTTTATTATAAAATATAAAATAATAATAATTAAATAGATTTTTTTTTAAATATAAGTTATTTATTAATGTAAAAATATTTATTAAGAAATTAATTGTATTCGAAATTTTGTAAAATACAAATACATAAATAAAATTAAATATAAAAATATGATTTAAATATATAAATTCACTTTTAATTTTTTTTTTAAAAAAAAAATTGTATACTTTTAATTTGAATACATTACTTAGGTAAAAATGATTTGGATATTATCATTACTATTCTATTTACTAATAAAAGTTTTGTTTCTAGTAATAAAATTTTAATAATCAAAAATAAATTTTCTTTAATAAATAATTTTAAGATTAAACATTTTTTAAATTAGTAATCGTTTTTACATAATTACATCAATTTAAATTATCAAATAAATTTCTTTGGATTTTAATAAATTTCATCAAAATATTTTCACCATTTTTTTAGTTTGAGAAAATCGATTTTGTTCAAAATAATATTTTTTTCAATATAATTAAAATCGGATTGTAATCTTATAAATATTATTAATCAGACCTTATATTGCGGAAACAGATTCATTATCTTATTATAAATTTAAATTATTTTTAAAAATTATTTCTTTTTATTTATTATTTTTTAGATTTTCTAAACTTTATTATGGAATTAATAAAAATTATTTTTTATCATGAATATATATGAAATTGCTTAGAGATATTTTTTCGTAAAAAAAATATTTTAAATGAATATTCATTGTAAACTTGAATCTATCAAATATTATAAAAGGTACTACTTATATTTTTAATAAAAAAAAGAATATTTAAAATAAATTTATTCTTTCAAATTTTTAGAAATAAGAATGCATAATAATAAAAAATACTCAAACAAACAAAAACATGCAGTATTTTTTAAAAAATTATTGAAAAAGGTATTTATATTATAAATAAAAACAAAACTATATAGTAAATTTATATTTTATTTATTAATTAATTTAAATTAAAAGCTCCTTATAATAAGATAAAAATGTATAATGCAAATTGTTACATTGTTATTTTTTATAAGGTTTGACTCTTTATTAAAAAAGAATAAAATGACTATGCAAATAATAAGTATACTAACATTTATTAATTATAAAAAATTTAATAAAAAATTAATGTTGACATAATAATTATTATATGAATTTCTAAATAAAAAAATTAAATTTTATATTTGTTTTAAAGAAATCTATAAATTTAATAATCGTAGTTTTATTCTATTCATTTTTATGGGTTTTTATTCTGTATGAAATTTTAAATGGACAAAATATATGGTTAATTAAGAAAGCAGGTAATAGAAATTCTGCAAATATAGAAGTGGAAAAGCGAAACAGTATAAGATTGCAAATAATATCTGCCTAGTAATATCTTTAAATTTTAAAAAGTTACTCATACAAAACAAATTTAAATGTGAAATAATACTTAGAAATATTTCACTAAAATGCCACATTATATTACTTATAAATTTAAAAGTTTATATTTAAAAAAAAAAAAAAAAATTAAAACAATTTTTTTTCGAAAATTTAAAGTAAAATTAAATTATTTTATATATAAGAATTTTCAAAAAATCTAAAAAAAAAAAATTTATAATAAAAAAAACATAATATTCAATTTCATAAAATACATTTTAATGGCAAATTCAATAAATTAAATAAATTATGTTTATTTTCAAAAAATCTAATTCTTAATACATAAAAAACAAAAATTATAACTTAATAAATAAAGAAAATGCTTTAAAAAATATTTCAATTGTTTTGCTTATTAATATTAATTTTTTAATCACTATTAAATTTTCTTTTTACATTACCTTGATTAGAATTTAATTCTTTTTATTTTTATTTAATATTATTAAGTAAATTAGCTTTTTTTTTAATAGTATTTTGGAGATCTTTTTATATATATTTAAGCCTCTTTTAAGTTTGATCTTTTAAATAAGTTAAATTTTAAACATTAAGTGTATTTTCATCATATTAATTTAATAATTAAGATACTTTTTGCTTATTTTTTTCTATATTTAATTACATCTATTTATATTCTTAATCTAAACTTTCTTAATTTCCATTAAGTTATTATTTATAAGAACACAATTAATTAAATTCTTCTTCTAAACATTCATATTCAATCTGCATATTTTAGATATTATTCAGTTTATTTTTTAATTTTTAGTCTATAAATTACTCTTCTTATAAAAAATTTTCTAATTTTTTATTAACTTCTTCTATTTTAATTACAATCTCATCTTCTTCTTTTTTTGCAATTTAAATTATATTTTCAGTTTCTTATACATCATCTTTTATTTATTACTGTTATTATTTTATTTGTTAATTTGTTTTTTATATATTTTATTTCTCGTTTAGTATTTCTTATTCTAACTCGTTGTTTTTACTTAAAATTTCGCTTTTTTATTCACGGACTTATTTCAAATCGACAAAAAGTTAAGTAAAATTTTAGCAAAGTAAAAATAATTAATTATTTTAATCCATTTTTTATTTAATTTATTTTATTAAAAAATAAATAATTTAATAAGAAAAATATGTTAATGATAAATATTTAAAAAAAAAAACTATTATTTATAAATTCAAATTAATACCTATTTTAAAAAATTAAAAAAGAAATAACAAAAAATTTATAAAATTTAAAATAAAATCATTAAAATATTTTATTTTATTATCTGATTACACTATTATTTTACGAATATTATGACTTATCATTAACTAAAAATGAAGATTAAATTTACTATTAAGGTAATAAACTTTATTATTAATGCACATTAGTTTCTTACTAAGGTTAATAATTTTTTTTTCCATTTATTGTTTGCCTATTAAGTGCAAAAATAGTAGTCTATAGTCCATCAACTTCTCTAATTCTATCTCTTTATTAAGCCAATAAATTTTAAAGATTTAAGACTTAGTTTTCTTAATCATTAATATTTTTGAGCAATAACTCTTCATTGGCATCTTTTTTTTAAAGTTTAGTATTCAAACTGCTAATTTCCACTTTCTAATTTTCTAAAGTAACTTTAAATTCACCAATTTATTAAAGCAAAACTTAAATTTGATTATTATAATCAATTTCTAATTTTCTTCTAATTTCTTCTTATTCATTTTACACTTATTTTATTTAGTTAAATACATTATCTTTCATAATCTTGGCCTCTTCTTTTTCATGCAAAATTTAATTATATTTCTTCTACCACATTATAAGTTCATTTCTATCCCCTTAACTACCTATCCCCCCTAAAGTTTATCTTTCTTTGATTGTAAGAGATAATTTTTATTCTGTACTATTCTTTTCATTTTCCAAAAATCTTAACTCTTGTTCTTTTTGACTTATCTAACTTTCATATTTATTACAAAGTTGTTTCATCTCTTTATCCATTTATATTTACTATTACTAAATTGTTTTCTTTTCGAATTCTTCCATTATTTGGGAATGTTGAAGTTCTTACAAAGTGATTTTTTCTTAATAAACTTTTATTTCCAATGATTACTTTTTCAAAGCCTCTTGTAATTATTATATATAGCGCTCTTATTCATTTATTCTTAAAATAAAATCATTGTATTTATGACGGTCTTTCATTTCATTTAATTATATTTAATAATTTAATTCATCTTGTAATTTACGATTTTAGTTTTATTAATCTTTTTTTTTTTATAAAAGAATAATATACAAATTATTTTATTACCTTTTATTTAATTATTTAATGAATTTACTTAATTTTTTGAATATTATTCAATATTGTGCATTTATTCTTTTTATTTTTAATATTTTGTAAATAACTCTTGATATTATTTTCTGTTATCCTATTGAGTTTGCTAAAATTATATTTCTAATTAATTTAAGGTTTTCTATAAATTTTATTTCTAGTTTTGTAACGTTTCTAATTACTATTAAAGTAAATCATTTCCAGGTTTTATTGATTAAGTTATCTATAATATGTGATTTTTTTATTCATATTCGATTATTTTTTATTCTTATTATTAATTTTATTATTTTAAAATATCTATTTCTTTTTATAATTTATCATTAAATTTAAATAAATAATGAATATCTTGTATTAATTATTATTCATTTTTTTCATCATGATTGTCATTTAATGGTATATTTTATACACTTTTACTTTTTAATTATTTTTAATTAATTAATTTATTTTTGTGAATTAATACTTTCTTTCACTTTTTTAAGATATATTATCGATTTCTGTATTTTAACTTAATTTTTTTATTTCCATTTTTCAATTCTTCTTTTTATTATATAAATATTACTTATTTATTATTTGTTATTTTTTTATGGAAAAAAATATAAATTAAAAACAATATACTAACAAAAATAATAACATATTATAATATTATTAATAAAATTAATAATTTGAACAAAAGAATATATTAATGCAACTAAAATATGATACTTTTTTAAACTAAATATATAATTTAATTTTAAATAATATTATTTATATACATATAATTTTTCTTTGATATTTAATTATATATATATAAATAATAATTATTATTGTTATTATTATTATATTTTTTGTTTTTCCTATATTTATAATTATTTTGACAAAACTTCTAATCTAAATATTTTTTTTATATCATATCTGAAAAATATTTATAATTGTTAAAATTTGGAAGGAAAGAGGTGATTTATAAATAATTTACTTAAAAATAAAAAAATTTAATAAGAAAAATATTTTCAAAAATAAATTTTTGAAAAGTCACAGTTTTAGTAATATGAATCAAAGACGAATTAAAAACAATAATTGTTTAAAATAACTTATAAAATTAAGAAATTTACAAACTCTCATATTACTATAAGCACAATACTAATAAAAATGATATAAAACTAAAATAAGTTACATATTTAAATTATTAACAAAAATTAGTTCGTCTAAATTAATGCAAAATACATAAATTTTGGACAGTAGATGATTGAAGTAGATATGCAATTTTATACTAAACTAAATCTTTTGTATTTATAGAAAAAAATAAATGAATATATTACAACTTAAGAAGAAAGAATATATGAATGCTGCATTTTTAAAAAATTTGGTAAAGAAGGCAAAATTTTTTTTTGGGGGTTTTTTACATAATTTATCAAATTAGAATGTATATAAATTTAATTTTTCAATGAAAATAATTATATATACTACATACTTATATTTTCTTTTTAAAAACACAATCAATTAAATTAAAAAAACTATTAAAATTTTGATAGCTTTTATTTTTTAATTGAGTTTTTAAAATAAAATAAAAAAAACAATACGTAAAAGTGATATTTAAAATAAAAATAAATATACGTGCCCTAAAAAAAAAAAATATGACTTATTAACAAAGCAATTCATCTTATCATAAAATTAACGGAGTTTTAAATAAATATAAAAAGTGGTATAAATTAGCTATTAATTTATTTTGGCCCTAAGATTCTACTGATTTAAATCTAACTAAAATCATTTGAATAAATGATTGAAATTAAAAAAATACATTTCATAAATGGACAAGAAAATAAATAATAAATTTTAATTAAAAAAAAAAAGATAGATATTTGAATTAAAATAATTTATTTTATACATATAGTCGAAACTATACAAGAAGTAAACGCTTACATATATAATATATATAAATATATATATATATATATATATATAATTTATTTTCAAATATTTTTCATTATATTATTTTTTTTAATTTTGATTTATTAAAAAAATTCTTAAATTGATTTTTTTTTATTTATTTTGTCTTTATATTTATAATATATTTGATTTTAGTATTTTTATAAAATTGAACAGATAATCAAAATAAATCCATCCTATTTTTAATATGAATATTATATAAAAATTAATTTTATATAATTTGTGTTTAATATATTAATTGATTAAAAAAAACATATTTTTTATTATTTCTATTTAGTTATTAAAAATATTTATTATCATTACAAAAAAATAAATATACTATGTTTTTTTTAGTTAAGAATTTAAATTTTAATTTTTTTATTATGAAAAAAAACAAATATTACATATTTTTTAAATATTATAATTTTGTTAATAAATGAA